GGCCTGGCCGTTCAGCCAGTTTTCAACCAACCTCACTGCTCATCCAGCCGCTACATCAACAGCTTGTCTATGAAAACCTGTGGAGAATCATTATACAAGACTCTTTTAACCTTGTCTCAAATTACTTTTGTGTGTACCTTTGTGAAATGAAACCTTTAGTCACAAGATTGTTTAAAACGGCACATTCACAATTTATCTATTCCCCATCCTCACCAATATGAAAGTGGAAGCACAGTGTGCAAATTAAGCTCAGAAGGTTAAATAGTTTCAGGCTTCTTTATGAGCTATTATTAACTTCATTATTTATGAGTCTTTCTCTTTGTTGTAACGTTCTTCAGCTGAAGGTTATTGAACTGTAACTTCCTATCACAGCATCTTTAATTAGACTAGCTTTTCCCAATATGTTAGAAAGCACGGTGAAGAAGGAAGTACTCCCTGATCTTCTTCTCCTGTTTTACACTGTGGTACTACAAATGATTGAGCTCAGTGGGACTCAGGCCTCTAAATGCTTTTGTGAATCAGGACAAAATGCTTGATGTTAATCTCCGAGTACACCACCCTTTTTCCGTGATGAGGAAGACTGTCTAACAAAAGAAAGAAGCTTCCTTCTTCAGATAGAAATGGTCGACATTTCTGTTTTCACCAAGAAAAAAAATGAAGAGTCTAGTATGATGACCATCTGGCTTTCAGTTGAATCTCTCAATGTCTTTTGGCTGTTGAGTTCTTACTGTGTTGTTAAAGCTTTTGCTGTAATGTATCTCCAACTGGTTTAAGACTCCCATGATGTATTAGCTGCTTTCCTTGAGTCACTCGATACCTGCCATTTGTTTAGAGAGTTGAGAAGCCCACTTAAAGGTATCATATGCTGAAAATGCCTTAAGGATACTGTATGCCTCTGGCTATTTTTACGTCTTGGAGATCATTTTTGTGGTGGTCTTGAAAGAACTCAGTGCCTGAGGGCTCCTGCTATGATTTTGTCTCAGCAGTATTTTGCCTTAAGAGGGGACTTTTCACCATTAAATCTAGATCTTGCATAGAAATCTCCCATTCTGAAAATTTTGAAAGTAAAAATTAATTATTGCTTTGTTACTTTACATGGAAGAACCTGACTCTCTTCACAGATTTGTTTTCTTTACGAAGTGTCCCTTTCCTGTAATTTCCAGAAGCAGCCATTACTGGATTGGTGTTTTTTATTTAATTTAATCAGTAAATACAAGCTAAATGAGAAAAAAAAAATGATAAGATAAAATATATGTCCTAGTTTGGTAAGTAAAAAGCAGTTTAGGATCTGATTCTGTTAGCCTTATTCATAATTGTGCAGCATCTGAAATACATGATACTACTTCCAAAAAAGAGTAACGCTCGAGATGAATCAGGGTGACCATTAGTAAGAGCAAGACAGCTACGGTACACGGGAACACGATCCTTCCCACTCTTGGTAAACTACTAGGGATTGCCACTGTCACCTAGAATAGCTGGAGCAGTTAACAGAGTTAACAAAATGTATGACTGATTCTTCTTCTGTATTTTAAAAGAGATAGGCAGGCACCTAAAATAATTTCCTCACCCATTTGGTAATTACTGCTAATTTTTAAGGTCCCACACTTAAATCTGTGTGAGGTCACTTACACCTCTGCAGGACATCACTGGGTGTAACAGCTGGTCCATTCAGATGACACTAAAAGATCGGGGCATGAAAAATTGCTCTCAGGCATGTTTTTTTTCATGATTGGTTTCTCTCTCTTTCCCTGAAGCAATAACAGGACAGATAGGTGGCACATAAAGTTTTTGTTTTCTGGAACACACCAGCTCAAGGAAAAGACCACTGCTTGTTCGCTCTGACACAGAACCCCAACAACAATAATGCCAGCCAGATAGCCTGGAAAATGTACACAGCGAGTACGGTGCGTCCTTGAAATAATATTTACTGTTTATTTGTTCCTTAGCCAGGAGGATGCACATACATTTTCTGCTTGTTAGGAGACTGCAAAACCAGACCAAAGAGCTATCCCTGGGCACAAATTTTAAACTAGGTACTGGGGATACAGCTCAGGATGATTATCATGACTTTGAATTCACATAAGCTCACTTCTCTCCACACCTGTTATTTGATGAGCAGCATCGGCTTGCTGAGCCATGTACAGATGACATGCAAGGAGTTTGAAACCTAGGTGTCTGATCCTACAAGCAATTCCATGTGGGCAGACGCCTGACTCCTTGCCCAGCCTTACTGAGGCTGAAAAGATCTGCATGGGTATTTATATCCAGTTGTGCAGGACCAAAATCAGTCACTGGGTATGACTCCTGGCATGACTAATTACGACTCAAACAGAGTGTTGACCTGCATTGATTCAGTAGCAGGTGAGGAACATTGGGGATGAACTAAACTGTGTAAGAAGTGATCCTTCACCTGTCCCCTGTGCTAGAGAACCACCTTTGCCTCAAACAAAATAACCATTTCCACTCTGTCCACAGACCTTCCCTGTGCAAAGGGCAGAACAAAGCCTATTTGCAGGAGCTCTGTTCTTTTAGAATTTAAGGACACAAAAACATCAGATCATTTATTCTGATCTCCTCTGTATTGCAAGCATTTCACCTTTGTAACTGGAACTGAAATCAGTAATTTACTTTTGATTGAAGTAGAGTGTGTTTAGATGAAGGTTACCTTCCAGAAGGGCATTGGGCTTTGAAATGAAAACATCAAAAAATACAGAATCCACTAATTCTCTTCCTAGTCTGCCCCAGTAATTAATCACCGTGGTATTAAATATTGGCACCTAGCTCCCCATATGAATTTATCAGGATTCAGCTTTTAACCATGCATCCTCTTAATTTAAAGGTCTTTTAGATGATACAGTTCTCCCCCCGCCATAAAAACCACTTATTTGCTTAATCCACTCACCTTCATTTCAATAATCTCAACAAACTGAAATGTTCAAGTTTCTTCTTGTATGGCATTTTCTCCAGGTGTCTAGTATTTATAGGTTTTTTCACCTTCTCCAATTTTTCAAAGCACCATAAAAATATGAACATGAGAACTGAGTGCAGTATTCTAGTGTCAGTCTCACCAATGCTGCATACAGGCACAAAATCATCTTCCAGCTTCTAATCACTACTCCCCAGCTTAGATATTCAAGGATCACATTAACCCTTTTGACTTTATGCTGCAATAGAACTTACATTCAGTTGCTTGTGCCCGAAATCCTATTTAGAGTCTCGTTTTGGGAATCAGACTCTCTGTGTTTGCAAGAGCACGTCTGCGTTCATCTTTATTGTACAGTTTTGCATTTGACTATGAAAATGTGCTCCTTTTAATGGCCCCAGCTTACCGAGAAATCCAGGCTTCTCTCATATGCCTGCTCTATCCTCATTATTACCCTGCTCCACCCAACAAATATTATTAGCCTATTATTATGAGTCCCTATTTATGTTCAGATCTTTAGTAAAAATATAAGGTGACTAAACTCTGGTAATTCTGAAAGCAATTGTTCAGCTCTCACTTAAACCCAGGAACATCTAAACATTAAATATATCTCAGTTTTCAACAGTAAAATACCCCCTGTGCTTAAAATTCCAGCATACTGGAGCACTGTTGGTTAATTACAGTAAAAGGCATGTGTTTTGGAAATGATCTTTTTTTTAAGTTATTAGAACAATATAGTTTTAACTAGTACCCAGTACTACTATCCTCAAATTTTAGATCATAAAAAGCCTTTAAAACAAAGATCTTATAATAAATCAAATATCAAACAACATACCAAATGTTTTGTCTCTTTTCCTGGCTGCTACTGAATGAGTCCGATTCCAAATCAAACAACTCAGTTGATACCTAACCTGAGCATACCTCGCAAGCAAAGGGTAAGTTTAACTGCACATGAGCTACTCAGTCAAATGCAGGGGTCTCTCTGGAGTTGCTGGACCCATTTTCCATCTGCATGCTTTTTATTTTCAACGCTACAAAACAGTAAATGCCTCCTGTCAGGTAATGACCACTCTCTTTTCTGCTAGTGGCAGTGAGCGATGAGCCATTCAGCACCTGGGTGATGGCACACAAGAAGGGTTCTGCTTTCAGGAGAGCTTAGTCTTCAGCTGAGAGGCAGAATTTGATGGGGTGAAGTACTGCCTTAGTAGCTGAAGTTCACAATCACATTTAATGACCGTGGGGCTGGAAAATAAGCCCAAACACTTAGTGTCAACCTTGGATTTGAGTAAAACTAAAGAGGCCATGAACTCTTCGAAAAGTCCCCACTCCCCAAACCCCTTAGACTGCATTTCAGCACATATTTAATGAAAATGTGAATGTCCTCCTCTATCGATCTTCAGATGAGCTCTCATTGGCCTACATACAGCTAATCCTAGGAAACTGAACTGCTTGCACAAATAAGAGACTAAACCCTTAGGAAATTTGTTGAACCGAAGAATAAACAAAATATCCATAAGGCTTGATTTTCAAGGGCATGAAGCATCCACAGCTTACACTTGAGAATACTAAGCATGTCTGAAAATTGGGACATTTGCTTTGTTTCTGCTGTTAAATTGCTGCCTCAGCTTCCCTGCCCTTTACCTCACCTATAGCATCAAAATATTTCAAGATGTGGTTTTTACAGTGGGGTACTGAGAATTCATTCAAAGTAGTATGTTAAAGTACCTTTAAGGAAAACTGATCTGTTAGCTCTTAACCTAACTTCAAAACATTAAGCCTCAAGCAAGGCTGATTTTTATACCCACAATAGCTAGTTTGTCATCTGGTTAGAGAGCTCAGAAAACAAAGCTGTCTGCTGGCGTGAACTGGCAAAGCTGTGCTGGCAAGGCAGAGTTTGGCCCAACCTTCCCTCAATATTAAGTGACATAATGCTTTCTGTGCTCTACCCCAGCCAGCCCTCCACATCATAAATACTGAATGCAATACCTGCATGATTGCTGGAGTGACTTTGCCCGTCACCTTCCCTGAGGAGACAACAATGCAAAACACGCTTTACTCTGAGAAAAGCTGCACTCACCCGATCTTCTTCTTCTCTGACATCTGGCATGGTGCTGATGCAGAGGCTGACTGCAGTGATGGCAACAAAAGAGACTGAAATACAAGCAAAGATCTTTCCTGGGATCCCTGAGTGGGGGTTCTCCACCATATCCCTGAGCTTTCGCATGCACAAACTCAATCGGCTATTGTCCTGGAAGGCACATTGCGTAGTTTCACTAAATACCATCTCCCCTTCATACAGCCTGGCCTCAGCTGCCTCCTCCTCTTTCTGTCGCAATCTCTTTTTACAGCACCACTCCAGGTGGTCCTCTTCTATCCCCCAGTACACAAGCTCCTCCTGAAAAGAAAGAGCGCACATCTCCCTGAGAAGCCTCAGCTTCCCAGCTGTCAGGAAAGTCATGATCGTCCTGAAGGCACTAGGATTACGGTCAAAAAAAAATTCATTGCAGCTAACATCATAATCATCGCAGATGTTCATGATCTCATCATAATTGTTGCAAGATTTTAGCTTCCCAAGCCTGGTCAAGGGGCAGTTCTCCAAGGTGGTCCATGGAACTTTGTATTTAATACCACCTACGTTGATGATCACAAACCTGGTCCGGTCATCCAGGCGGGCTAAGCAGCACAAGTCTTCCCCAGGGTGCAGAAGTTTGGCCTTTTTGTAGAAGAATCCTTTCTTGGTTTGCACTTCACACAGGTTTTCCAAGTTATTGAAGGAGTAGGAGCTGAACTCAGGATCTGCATTCCCAGTAAGCAATGCCATTTCGTGATACATTTGTTGAGTCCATAGGGGGGTCGAGGCTACTCAAACAAATGCATCTGGAGCTTGACTGGAGAGTCAATCTGTAAAACAGAATTTTAAAATTAAAATAAAATTAGGGCGTTGCTAGATGAGAAACAATCCTATCCTCTCGATCCCAAGAAACTTTTCTCCATGGCATTATTTTTCCCCCTATTATTTTAGGACTATCTTTGCTTGGTAGTTGCTTGGGGAAATAACTTAAACTGCAATAAGGTCAGAAGCCACGTTGATACTTCTAGAGGGTTTAGTCAGTGAATGAATGGAAACAAAACCAGTGTATTATCATTTTCAGAAATTTCTTTTCTAGAGGTTCAAGCTATATCCTGGACATCAATGGATACTGAAAGGGAAAATGAGTCTTTTGCATAAATGGCAATTTACATTTTAGCAACTTAATAAAGAAACTTAATTGCAACTGTTTTTTTGATTATGTTGGCCCATCTACAAAATGCCTATAGTGTGAGGATATAATGGATACCTACAGTACAGTCAGAAATGGGATTGCAGCAATGCTGGTAATTCCCGATTTAAATTCACCAAGCTTAGGTACCAATAGCAATGAATATGGGGGAGCTGAGAATCCAGCCTGCAGCGAGCACCTAAGCAGGTTTGGGTACTTGAGCATAAAGTGTATGCTACCAAGATTCACTTGCCACTGGTACCCCAACTAACTGGATTAAAGCTATATTGGGCACATCCACCTGAACAGCCCCACTTATAAAAGGTAGAAAAGCTTTTGTTCTTGTGCTGGGGTGCCTGCCGTCCAGGCTAGTGACATCTCCTGCAGGGAGGTGCACATCCTGGGTCTGGGCGGAGACCAGAGCTCGCCCGGGACCCCGGAGCTGCTGGAGGCTCTGCTGTGGTTTTGACTGCGGGAGGTGGACAGGATGCGCAGCAGCCTGGCAGCAGCTCTGAAGCAGGAGACCAAACCTAAGAACGAAGCAGAGCTGGAAGCGACCCGCTTGCTGCTCTTACTTCTGGATAATGCAGAACCCAGCTGGTCACATTTAGCAGGAATTATGCACATTATGCATAATTACAGGATTTAATTTGTGCCTTCTGCTTACTCCTCCTTTACCACACCACAATCCACAGATCTCCTGAACACACTTCTTCACCTGCCACATTGCTTCCTCACTTTCTCTAGAGCTCTCCACCCAAGTTCTCCAAAGCTGTCTCTCCGAAGCAGTACTAGGATGTCTTGAAATGCTACTATGTAATTACATTAGTTGATCACCCAAAACCTCCTGAATTGCTCAAATATGAAGTAGCAAACAAGAAATCACCGTAGGACTGTTGGGATTCCACACAAAGGACCTGGACTAAGAATGGATGCAGTGATAGGGAACAATGTTAAGCAGGGGATGTAGAAACCTGACAAGTTGGTAAAAGACAGGAGAAAAAGCTGAGTTGTGAAGGACAGTCTGACATTATTGATGACAGGACGGTAACCATGAGGCAGTAACTCCATAATTTATAAGCAACATTCTCCAATTCCCTTTGAATCTCATGCCTCAGCCTGGAGAGAACACCAAACAAGTGGGTGCTAGGAAAAACTGGAGAGCACACGCATTCAAACACATTCCCAGAGCAGCATCTTCCTTTATCCATAATCATCTCACTAACTGTTAACTCATTAGACTTATTCAAAACAATCTCCAACAGCAAGTATTCGCAAGTGGCGAATACTTGCTATTCACAGCCCTGAGTCACTCTCTAAATATTCTTACCAACCACACTCAAACAACCAAATCACAACAATAGCAGTGGTACTCCTGCTTCTACATTTCTGTGAGGATCCAGCCACTGAATTTTAGAAAGGCATTTACGCTGGAGATTTGTAAAAAGTCAGAGAAAGGCTGGTTTACATACAGAAAAATCTAAAGTCACCTAAAGATACTTTTCGGCACTGTGAAAATTTCAGAAGAACTAATGATGCCCAAATCTCTCCAATTTCACTTTGGGCAAAAAAAAATTGTTTAAACGTCCATTTATACGGGACAACATGAACAACAGAGAAAAGCTCCTTTGTCTGGCTAAGGGCCAGTAAAGGGTAAGAGGCAGCAACATGCGTTCTGAGAAATGGGTGCTTTTACAGCACAGGCTTGAGTGCAGCTGGGATTGCAAATACCATTACTGTCACAATGAGAGCGCACTGTCAGCACGGCATATGCTTTAAGGATTTAGTTTCTTGTTGCTTGTTGTTGGTAAGATAAAATATTCACTGCCACTACTCAGGGCACTGTGCTTTTGTTTTCATGCCTCACTTGTTACACAAGTCAACATACAAAAAGTAGTTTACATTGTTTTGACATCAAGGCCAGGATTTGCTTTTCTCCTCTTCCCCGTGTAGCAGGCTGTTGCATAAAGGGGCCAGACGTATTTCACAGAATTATTTTGAATCTAATCTTACATGCGTTTCTTCCTTCTTCCAAGAATCAGCTAACTAATGTGAAAATCTGTAAGCATGTTGTTTATTACAAAATCTCTGAATTACAGAGGGTTAGCCTTTTATTTTGTGGATATAAAATGACGTTGACTAAATGTAAAGCTTAAGGAAGCAGCTATTCATTTTTTTTGTATCATCAGTGGATAAATAGAGAGTGATAACAGAAGTAGTTACACATAGTATTGCCTGTGGTTTAACAGGTTGATTCTGGACAGTACTGGTAGCATCAGATGCTGGAGTTTAGTTACTAAAGTGAATTTTCTGACCTCACACTTCAAGATCCCAGAATCCATAATAGTATACATTATTAGTTGGCAGCATTTGTTTTGGAAATCTCAGTTAAAAAGATAAGCATGTGAAGAGAGTTGTAGGTATTACTCTCCTTGGCACCTCTGTGAGGTGGTTGCTGTAGACCAGGGCTCAGATATCAGTTGGAACAGCATGGAAAAGCTTGTTGTGCCACTTTAACTGTCCTACAGAAAAACAGAACACATCACTGTAGGCTCCCAATTTGGCATCTATCCTGAGAAGTAAAATAAGCCTGGAAGGTCTGTTTCTGATCTTATGTGCATGGAATGTATCATGACCTTCACTGAATATTAAAGGGTGTTTCAAAATTATGTGGGTCTTAAAATACTCTCTGCATGCCAAGGTTATCTAATGTACGCACATGCCTACAGTAAAGCATCCCATTGAAGATTAACTTTAAAAGCCAATACTTCCAGAAATGATACTACATTATCATCCATTTGGCATTTCTACCATTTAATCTGACACATGGGTGCAAGAAAGACTATTAAAACACAGTCTGTAATAAGCTGCCCATTGCAGGGACACAGGACAGAATTTGACTCTATATTTGTTGTTCATAATTTTAAAATGCTGTGGGAGAAATGCTGTATAAATGTTTCAGTTTGATGATCATACACAGGGTGGGTCATACATATTGTAGATTCTTTTCTTTTTTAAGTAGAGTCAAACAATTTTTATTCACTAAGAAGTACTTTCTTTGGCCATCTATGTATGCGTGTGTGTGTGTAGACACACACACAAGTTCAGCCAAATTCTGTCAACAGCAGACAGCTGAGATCTTTAAAATACAGGTATTTCTCATCAAAGATTTTAAAGATTAAATAAATGTCAGAAGCATATAACTGCTTCATATTCTCCTTTTTGTTGAATTATTTTCTCAGTGGAGAGGGGGCTAGTTCCCTACTTACTGCCTTTTCACCTTGCCTGCTCCCATCACTGTTCTTCACACAAACATTCTTTATCATCAGTATTGTTGCATCTAAGTCATATATGGTTTTGCATATGGCTCCACTGGTCTCAAGTTGCCTTGAATAAGAATGAAAGATGGGGCAAAAGCATCCCTGCCAACAGGCTGGCCAGCCTGGTGAGGAGAGCTTTAAACTAGTGATGATGAGGAGGAAGTGGTGGCGCAAAGGGTGCAGGGTGACATGGCCAGGAGAGACCTCGTGATCAGTAGAGGGCTGAAGGGTGACCACATCAAGCATATGCACATAAATGAGGGTACGCCTACAGGAAAGTGTCACGGGCAGAGCACTCATACCTTTTCTGGGAAATCATCACAACTAGGTGCCTCTGAAGTGCCTGTACACTAATACATGCAGCCACGAGAGCAAACAGAAGAATTCAGAGGTCTGTATACAGTTGCACAGAAGAAACTGGTACTATGAGGGTGGTCAAACACTGGAACAGGATGCCAAGAGAGGTCATGGAGTCTCCATCCTTGGGGATATTCAAAACCCATCTGAACACAGTCCTGAGTAACTTGCTCTAGCTGATGCCGCTTTGAGGAGTGGGGGTTAAACTAGATGAACTTCGGAGGTCCCTCCCTACCTCAACTACTCTGTGATTTTGTGAACAGTCTCTTTTTAACTGCTGCTCTAAGTTACAAAGTACTGAAGGTTTACACTTGTACTATGGTAGCAAGAGGAAGCCATGAGGCTTTTTAGTAATTAATGTTTTAAGATTTTCCTTGTGAAATGAAACACACTTTGACAGAGAACAGGTTATTGTGTCATAATTTAAAGTCACAGACATGAAACATAGATTAGGGTGACCACAAGATGTTTTCTCTCAAGTCCAACGAGAGTTGAGTCAGTGAACCCATTATGCAGTGCTCAGCCATTTCCAGTCAGAGACGTGCTGGAACCTGACATTGCTGCCTAGGACCAAAGCAATTCCTACTTCTTACCCTGACATGATTTATAATTTACAGCGCACACAATTATTTTAATAGTAAAGCTTACACATACAATTGACCATAGATTTGGTGGTATTACATTTGGATGAAGAGGTTCAGGAGATCCAGCTTGCTTTTGTACTTATTACATTTCAGTAGAACCTGGACTCCCAGCAATGAGTCCCTGCCAGGCATTGTGGAAACACAAAGGGAGGAGAGCACCTGCCCATGAGGCTTACAAAATACAGAACAGATGGGCTGCAACCAATACACAGATTTAAAAAAACAAAAAAGGAAAATGAGACTGAGAGGATATGGAAACTATAAAACAGACAGAGCTTAGCCAGAAGGCAGACCCCTTCTTGGTTCAGGGGAATTAGCTT